CGTCAGCAACCCGAAGTTTTTATGGGCTCCCGGGAATCTCTATTCGTAAACCATCCTCTCCCCCTCCCCACCCCATGGAAAGGCGACGCTACGAAGCGGCTACCTGGAGTGGCTACCCATCTGGCTACGACAGGAACGACAAAGTGTACCCTGAGATTGGACCTTTTTTTTCTTCCTCTTAGTAAAGGGTGAATTTCCTACTGTTGACCACCATGACCTCTTTCGCCACCCCATGGGGGAAAAATGTTCCACTGTTTGGTCAACGTGAATAAAAAACTTACGAATAACTCAGGGGCACACTCTATTTGGTATAGGAAAAAAAAAACGTCTTTACAAATATAGAATAAAGACGTGTTCAAAAAAAAAAAAAAGAAAGAATTATAGCACACAGTTTTTAACACAGCGTAAAAAAGTTTAGAGGAACGCATTAAACAAATCGTAAGGTTTCCCTACCATGTGTGCTGTTTAAAAAAAAAAATACTTTAACCTAAACGTAGTCGTCCTAATAATACACTTAAACAATTTTAGCAGGTATATCTGCAGTGCATATGAGAATTCAACTGACACACTTACTTCATATTTGTAAAACCTGCCAGGGTTCTTTGTTGTTTCGAGTATATTCCAAATGTAGTTAGTTAATGCGCTCACTCACAGGACAGCAGTGGAGATCTTTAAAAACTGGGGTCACGTGGTCAGATGTATTTATCCGCGATAAAGTGGTGCTGCAGTATTTTATACCTTCAAGAGTCTCTGAAGTTAGTGTTTAGGTAAAACCCACAAACAACTGTTACAGCAATCAAATCTTGATTTGATTAGAGTTACTGTTAAGGCTGTTCTCTTATTAAGTTGAGGACGGAGCTGACCCAGGGCGCGTAGATGATAGTAATTCCTAGGGTCATAGGGCGAGTATACAAAAGCCGTATTCCTACACACTCTGGGAACAGAGGGGCGAGTATACAAAAGCCGTATTCCTACACACTCTGGGAACAGAGGGGCGAGTATACAAAAGCCGTATTCCTACACACTCTGGGAACAGAGGGGCGAGTATACAAAAGCCTGATTCCCACACAACCTATGATAAGAGGGGGGAGTATACAAAGCCTGATTCCCACACAACCTATGATAAGAGGTACGAGTATACAAAAGCCTGATTCCTACACAACCTATGATAAGAGGGGCGAGTATACAAAAGCCTAATTCCTAATCAATCAGTATCAGAAGGTAGAGCATGTATAATGTAGGGTTATGGTTTGTGAATACTCCACGTCCTTTAAACATTCGTGCCACAATACAGCAGTGTCAGCATTCCTCACGTTTAACAGTTTCCATTCCTCACATCATTTCTACACATTTAAAAGAAGTCGGATAATGACTTTTAGGTTAATAATAATTTCTCTCACTTTGATCTGCCATAATAAAAGGACGGTAATATAGACAAAAAATACAATGCAATATAATACAATTTAATGCAAAATATTACAATACATTACAATACATTACAATACACTACTATGATTATTATAAGACTTGTTTTGGACTTCGTTATTGGACGCTGATTTTGTGTTTGTTACATCGCAGAATAAAAATTAAATCCCAAGGATAATCAAACGATTATTTTTTAAAAATTAAAATTCAATTTTGAAATATTGCGATTCGTTTCTTTTTCTTAAAAAATTAATTTTGCCAAAATTGCTTTTGATCTTTTTTAAAAACAAAAAAACAAAAACAAGACATTGCTTTGAAACAATTGTGTTTGTATGTATGTATGTGTGTGTGTGTGTGTGTGTGTGTGTTCAGAATTTAAACAACGTAACCTCATTGAAAATACAAGTTTTGATATTTGAGTATTTAGTTTCAGTTATTCATTGACTTTATTAAATATTTCAAGTTGCTGCATGGCCTTGTTGTTGTTTGACAAGATTGCTAGTTCACCTAACTTAATGACATTCAGGTGAAAATAAAACACGAGGACTGAAAGTGTTTTTCAAAATTTATTAAAAATTATGTATTTATTTATTCATAAATTTTCATATAAATATTCATAAAAAATATGTATTTTTTTAACAACATATCAATATGAATACGTAATGTGTGACTGGGCCTTTTTAATCAATCGCAATCCAATCTACATTGATGTCCATGTTTGTTAAGCTGCAGGATATAGAGAAACTAGCTTGAGTTATGCTTTGGACATTAATTGTGTACGTGCCATAGGATGAGGAAGAAACACTATGTCTTAGATATGGGACACTCGTAAATACTTTTGGAATAGCGTAGAAATGTTTGGGAAAAGCAATAAGCTGTCCGCTGGTTGAGCACCTTGTCAAACTTCCGGTTTGGATGTTGTGGGTCCGTGTTGTGTTCAAGGTTTCATTCATGGTGATCAATACAATGTCGTTTTTCAGGCTTCTATTTTCTTCTACAAGTTCTGCTATCTGCTTATCGTGCTCGGAGATGTAAGTAACTAGGTCAGAGACGCTTGGTTCTGCCGAAGTTATCTGTACCGATGTCCACAAGGATAGCGGATGTTTGTCAAAGTTCAGTGCAAAAACCTCACAAAAATACACGCCTGCCTGGTCATCTAGGGGCCTGGTCCATGTCACCTGGAGATAACCTTGCTCACCAAGCACCGGTGACTTGTCACTGCTGCCCTCAACTTGGAAGTGACCGGTGGTGGGGGATTCATCGATGGCGCCGTCAAATGGCGTCACGCTGGCCACCTTGTCCCGCATCCCTGTCCTCTTGTTTTCCTTGGTAATGATTATGGCGGTCACGTGAGAGACGCCTGACTCCGACACGTCACCCTTTGCTGTGCTCGCTGTTGTAAAAGGTGCTGCTGTACTACCCAATAAAATATGGTGGCCTGTGGTCGTTGCTACTGCACTCAGGGGTGGGTTGTTCAGAATAGAACATCGAAGGCGCAATGATTTTGTAAGTATTGGATGGATTACTTCTTGGCTGGCCTGGAACGCGACCTGAGAAGCATCTGGGGAATAAAAGACAATACCATGGTATAGTATGTATCTTACACAGGGGACTCATTTCTACAAGAGCCAATGACAAATTAAGTAATTGTCTGTAACATTTTAAACATTTTTATAAGGAAATTTTCGGCCGCACCCCATTAGTTATAACTGGAACATTTACAACAATATCTTTCAGTCTATTGTTTCAAGTTACTTTTTTAAAATAAACACCAAATGATATAAATTGTGATAAGGTTGACAGCCTTAAAATGTTTACAGTTATATGTGATTATTAACTCTCACAAATACAGACTATATTAGTTTATGTGGAGACATTTCCAAAATATATTACGTCATAAATAGATATCTGACTTGAGTTTGGAAGGGTGGCGCTTGGCAGAAAATGCGTACATTTGTTCACATATTCGTCTTCTGACAATTATAAAGTCCATTGATAACATATTAGAAATACTATTCTAACATTTTAAGGGGTACATATCAATACAACAAGGGTTTTTAGCGCAATTCTTCTTGAGTGTGGACTGATGTCAGGCCTAAGGGAAAAATCTCATCTGTACAGTGACATCAATAGATACATTATTTTTGAAGCACAAATTGTCCAGTGTTTCCCTATACATTGTATTCATCGTATATTTATTTCTCATGTTTAACATATAGTATAGGTTATCGTTACATTCCTACTGTATTGACGCCACACATTAGTACTGTGGCGAATGTTGTATTCAAAAAACTAAAGGGAAATCTCTACACAAACCAAAATAATCAAAATATAGATATGTTTATTGATTATTTAGTTGTAAATTATAAATAGTTATAACGACAAAGATATGGTAATTCTTGAAATATTAAATAAGATAAGATTTTTTAATGATGAAAATAAATGGAACTTTTTTAAATATACATTGTACATATTAGTTTTCAGCACATACATAAATACAAATTTTAACTTGTAAGAAAATTTTACAATTATAAAAACACAATACATCTAAAGTCTTTCTTAAACATAGATTAGTAATCTATAAACGGCTATAGTGACAATTATGACTTAATTAGTGATACTTTAGATTTGATAACCGCTGGTAGGGTGGGCACGCTGGGGAACAAAATATTTTTAAATATATATAGCCCCTAACTTAGGGCTGATCTTAGGTATCTGTGGTGAAAAGGGTGGGGGATGTATCATCCAATTAAACACATTTTTTTTTTACAACATCTTCTTTTCAAATAGTTCTTCATGTGAAGGGAGTTTAGTTTTTGTGATTCTTGATTAGTCTGTTTAATCAATGTTTGATGTTAGACGATGAAGTCCCACACCAGCGGGTAAAACTGAAGTAATACTGAAGTAATACTGTAGAGTATGTTATTTTAATCGTTCGATCTCCGCACGCGAAGTTGACCAAGGCTTCGACCTGAGTAGTAGCCTTCACTAGAGCTTTAATGTGTTTAAAGAGAGGGAGAGTTGCTCCATTCGTTTGCCTCACTCTCTTATCTTTGCTTTTTTTGTTCCTATGGCAGCACTTAATCAAGACCAATGAAAATACCAGTTTTCAGTTGATGACCAGCAATGTATCTTGTGTGTTTATGTGTTCTAAGTCTAAGTACTTTTCGAAATGTTCACTGTGTCAGTCTTATAACCCCTAAGGGACTCTGGGTTTGATATCAGAGTTTTGCTTCTTTAAGATGAGTTGCCGCGCAATGTTATTGAGTCCCATCCACCCCGGTGCTGCGTGGTCGAGTGGTCTAAACTGAGTCAAATAAAGCTAGTGAACTTGATTTCATTCCCCACCAAAAACAATAGCGCGTGTTGACAATACAACACAGCTTTCTATCTGGCTTAATGTTAGATAGACAAGAAAATGGAATGGCAACCACGAAGTTACAGAACGAAACAAATAAATGTGGGACATGTTCAATTGGAAATAATAAAGTGTTTATTGACGAGATGCACGCCCAATGACACTCACACTCACCCCCCCCCCACACACACACAAACACACACACTCACAGACACACCTACCTGTGTAAAAAAGAAGTTGAAATAACATCTCTTTTTAAAAGTAAACCTTGACTTTCACAGCCCACACCTTATGATGAGCTACCAGACGCCGTCTATTTGAAAATGTAAGAAATTCATTTGGTCAACTTTGTAAAAGTTATCCCCGATATAAATACTCTAAATGTTTACCCACGTACAATACGTCTAATTATTGTTTACCTGATTCAAATACTATAGCTGTTAACACAGCCGCAGCCAGAAGGCATGTCGTGGGGCTCATTCTTTGAGCTGTGGGTTCCCTCTTTGTTGAGTCGTATGTGAAATGTTGAAACAGTTTGTGGAAGTCAAAATAAAACTACATGTTTAGGCCTCAAAATAATCGTATATATAGTCAGCATTATCTACGCCCCCAATACCAGGTATTTTGATTTACATTTTCAGTTTAAGGGTTAATCTTGTAGTGGTTCCAAAATCTTAGGCACCGTACTTTACAAAGAAATGACTTATTCAAATAGTAAAGCTTTTTTTTTGCCGTAAGAATGTATAGCATAATATTAAGTTTAAAAATAGTGATAAAATCAATCCACGGAAAAATGTAAATATCTGGACTATGTACACAAACCCAGTGAAAGCATAGATTTGAGAATCGCTGTTTTAATAAGGCCACTAGTTTGAGAGATAAAGCAAACGTTATCACTTTACTAAGAATAAAGAAATAATATGGCAATAATTAAATCTTTAAGCACTACAATCTTCTGTCACGTATCAATAGTGGGTCAGTGGTATCGATAGTGTATTAAAGGTATCGACAGCTGGCTAATGATATCAATAGTAGGTTAATGGTATCGATAGTGGGTTAATGGTATCGATAGTGGATTAATGATATCGATAGTCTGTTAAAAGTATCGGCAGTGTGTTAATGGTATCAATAGCGGGTTGATGGTATCTTTAGTGTGTTGATGTTATCAATAGTGTGTTAATTGTTATCGATAGTGCGTTAATGGTATCGATAGTGCGTTAATGGTATCGATAGTATGTTATTGGTGTTGATTGAAGAAAAAAACGATTGATCACAGAAATACATATAAACAAATATAGAAATAAAACAAAAGAAATTGTTAAGTATGTAGTTCATTAAAGTTAAAACTGGAGGCTAATATAATAATGAAAATAGCTGGTCTAATCACAGTCACGGTAATTGTGGGAAAACAAGTATAACAAGGTGGAGTATTAAAAAAGAAAGCCCTGCAGATATACATTGTTGAAGCTTGGTTGAGGGCAGTGGTTGTAGGGAGTTCTCGTGGGCAACTGGATGACAAGGGTTGAGGTGCAAGCAGCAACTTCTTAAAATGTCGTAATAACAATCTTTCACATCAAGTACGTTTTATTGAATAAAAAATAAATAAATATATATATATATAATAACGACTTTACTAACAGGCCTAGAGTTGGCTTTAATATACTGAATTTCTAACCACGTCGAGTCGGCTTTTCAAGATGAAGTAATATTTAGTTGAATCACTCTACCGCCATCCAAACAACGTCTATGCACGAGTCAGGAACGTTGCAGATTATCGTGCAACCGGCCTTATCCTCGTCGACCACTCGTACTTGACTGGTGCCATCAGGCAAAAAGAGACTTACATGAGTCACGCTCGTGAATACTTTTGGCTTTTCCGAGAACGGCCTGGAGTAGGTCACATAGCTGGCCGTGGACGTGCAGTTTAATCTTCCTGTTTGGATATTCCCGATTTTCGTTGCGTTTCGATTGGTCGCACAGCAGGTGGCGTTGAGGCTTGCGATCTGGTGCACCAGGTCCGCATTCGCCCGTTCGAGCTCGGTGACCCGTAGGTTGTAGACGAAACTCAGGTCCTCGTACTGCTGCTCTAGCCGCGCAACGCGCTGGTCGTGGGTCGAGTTGAGGCTCCCAATCATCGTTTGAAGCTCAGACACGAGATTGAAGTTCGAAGAGACAAAGGTCACGAGATCGGACAGGCTCAGTTCTGACGCTATCGCAGCAGACGTCTTAAGGGCGACGGGCTGGTTGTGTGCATTGAGGCCAAACGCCTGGCATGAGTACAGACCGGAAACTGTGTCAGGTGGGGTTGTCCACGTGATTTCGAGATAACCCTGCTCTCCAGACATGGCGGAGTTGTTTGTGCTGCCTTCAACACGAACCGAACCCGAGTAAGGAGGTTCGGCAATAGGTCCGTCAAAGGTAGAGACACTTGCCACCTCCTCGCCCTGCTCATGAGACACGTTTTCTTTTGTGATGACGATGGACATCACGTGGGTTAGGTCATCATGTGACGTGGTACCGTCTGCTTGGTCTACATCCGATAAGCTTGAATTTGTTGTATTGTCCTGCAGCGGCTGCTGACGTTGCAGTGAGCATCGTAGGCGTAATGACCGCGTGAGGAGCGGATGGATGGTGGATGGTGTGGCTTGCAGAACCACTTTAATGGATGCTGGGGAAAAAAAAAATTGTCACAGGAAATCCGTCAGAGGAAGACTGATATTGTTACGTAATGAGCGACTCCACCAAGATCATACATCACACATTCTTTTAGAACATTATTCGGGAATTATCAAGGGACATCATTGCGGATACAAAAATCAATCGCTAACAATTAAACAAGACCCATTTATATCTTTTTTTTTCTTCATTTTTTTTGTTTCACGTGTGACTTCATGAAATATTGTAAACTTTTCAATGTGGAGGCATGTCTGCAGGTCCATCACGCTTAAGGTTCAGCAAAGTCCGGTCTTAAGTAAAACAATTATTTTGCTTTTATTAATTATATTGATTTGTAAAAATGTAAGTTTTATTTTGTTCAAAATGATCAACCGAGGCATCTTTTTAAAAAATCTTCTTTTTTTCAATTTATACCTAGTTGACTCGTTGCGGTCTCATAAAAGAAACATTACCTGATGAGTATTGGTTTTTTAAATTAAATAATATTAATATTTCCAATCAATTAAATTCTACTAATAATGATCATTTATGAATAATTTTAGCAATAACAATATTAATGAAACAATAATATTGTCAAATCCGACACATCTCTGTAATAGTTAGCTTAATGACGAACGAGATTCTGTGTACGTGTACGCCTAAAAAAGTAGATGAGCACCGCCACGGTGACACCTGTAAACCACGCTTTGTGGTTGGGTCAACCTTAGACAACTAAGAAACAAAATACCCACCTCCCACACATACACAAAACAAACAAAAAACAAAAACAACAAAACAGCAACATCGCCTTACCTGTGAAACAGACTTGAACGAAGAGACAGACAAAGCTCAACACGAAAAGCCTTGATGCCATTCTACCAAAGCTCTCCACGTCTTGTGTCGCCGTCACTGCACACACTGATAAGGTTGGCTCGGTTTATCTTGGGCACAAACATAATCAGTGACTTCTCTTTACCTTACCGCAGGCCAACAAAACATTTCACTTTAATACAGCAGTCAATTCTTTTTAAAATTCGTTTTTTTAAAGATTCCATTGACACATTGTGGGATTCATCGGATAGACACAAATGTTTTACATTCCAGAAGAATCCAATCCCCAGGAGTGACGTTGTTTTTCTAGCGAGGTTACGACTTTGTTTTCTAACGAGAGTGACTTTGAACGAGGTAACAAGCACTCCCCAACACAATAATAATTAGTTGTTAACGTACCAACACACAAAAATGCACATACTTGTAGGTCAGTATGCATTAAACCCTGACCTCAATTCGTTCAGCTTCAGAGCTCGTGATGCAGTCCAATTGTCCAGTCCAACTGTCCAGTCCAACTGTCCAGTCCAACTGTTCAGTCCAATTGTCCAGTCTACTGTCCAGTCCCATTGTCCAGTCCAACAGTCCAGTCCAACCTCCAGTCCAACTGTCCAGTCCAACTGTCCAGTCCAACTGTCCAGTCCAACTGTCCAGTCCAACTGTCCAGTCCAATTGTCCAGTCCAACTGTCCAGTCCAACTGTCCAGTCCAACTGTCCAGTCATACACCCGGTACTCACCAAAACACTGAGGCTCCGATGTTCCATCTACAAAGAGAACCCAAACCTAGCCGCCCTAACACGTGCGTCCTCCGAGCGAGAAGTCTTGACATTGGGGATGAAACCGACGTGGCTTACAATGATGACATACTAACGACCAACGTGACCACTGCGCCAATAATGGCTAGCACTTGATGTATTTCTAACCAGAATGGCTAGCGACAAGGATTCTGCATGTTGGACCAGTGGGACTTTATATTTATAATGTCAGAGATTCTGCATGTTTGACCAGTGGGACTTTACATTTCTGACGTCAGGGACTCTGTATGTTTGGCCAATGTGACTTTATATTTCTAACGTCAGGGACTCTGTATGTTTGACCAATGTGACTTTATATTTCTAACGTCAGATATTCTGTATGTTTGACCAATCTGACTTTATATTTTTAACGTGAGAGACTTTGTATTTTTAACGAGCATGCGACTTAACTAAAACGTCAAAATTGATCCCATGACCCTCATCGCTTAACTCGCTATTTCTCACTTAATATACTTTGAACTCACTCCCTATCCCACAACATTACGACCTCAGAAAATTCTGTCTTATCTTTTAATGTTCCATCCTTTCACAATTTCGTGGAAATGGTTTACCGTGTTTCATAAAGTAGGTCATAAGTTGATGTTTCTTGATGTGTCTTGATGTGTCTTGATGTGACTTGATTAGATTATCTCAAAAAGTGGTTCTCGACCTTCCTAATGCCGTGACCATTAAATACAGTTCATCATATTGTCGCGACACCCCCCCTCTTTAAACATAACATTATTTTCGTTGCTAATTGTAGAGTATATGTGTTTTGAGATGGTCTGGGGCGACCCTTGTGAAAGGGTCGTTCGATCCCCTAAGGCAGAGATCTCAAACTCGCGTCCTGCAAGACGATATTTTACGGCCCGCTACAAGACAGAAAAATTTAGTGTTAATGCGCCCAGCCCGGTTTTCGCTATTCTGTTTTTGAACACGTTTTAGCATTGAAAGCCTTCTTGGACAAGGATGGGGTTGTTGCTTCTGTACTAGGTGATTGCAAATGGACCCTGAGACGCAGCGCCGCTATTCGGACCCGGGTCCCTATAGACTCAATGTTATTCGAATGTCATTTGTGGTAGTTTATTTTAGTTACACAGAAGAAGTAAATTTACAAAAATAGAGTCCATTCAAATATATTTTATTTGATACCAAATTTTGTCTTATAACCTATCAATAATAAATAATATTTAAAACAATTTTTAATCCCAGCCTCTCACTTCTCCGACCCCAGGTCCCAATAGTCACCCCGAAAGCCAAATAGATATTTCTCAATATTTCAATGGCAATAAATAAAATGCAATTAACACTGGCCCTATGTGAGTTTATTACAAACAAATTCTAAAATAAATCCAAGGTAAAGCACCCAATAGGAAGTCGATCAAATTCGATACGACCCTATTGGCTGTCCATTAAAGTCTGGAGTTCAATCCCCACTTAAGTCCAGTTGAGTAAAAACATCATCAGCGCCCCTGGGTGGATGGAACTCGTTAACCTTGGATGGAAACTCATTTGAGAGAAGGAAACTCTGATGGAATCCCGTAGTTGAAACATTCCGAAAACGCCGGCGACGCTACTGGTGCTAAGCTGTATCATCCAAACATGACTCTTTATCATCCAGTGGCGTGGAAAGAGGCAATTTGCTGTGTAAGAACCAGCTAAAAAGAGTTATCACAGGCCTAGTGGATTTCGTACTGCAAAGTCTACACCATTGTGACGGACGAATGCCGGCAAATAATAATAACAAACATTTAAAAAAAATAATTCATTGGCATTTTTTAATCAAGTATCTTTTTCATTTTACTTTATACACTTGTGATAGGTTTTCTGAATAAACACACATTAAAACATTTTTTTTTCATTATCCTGCTACATTGTTTACATATACTACAAAAAATTCATGCCTTACAGTTTTACCAATTCACTGACCAATGGCCAGCCACTGAAACTCTGGTAGGAAGTAACCCGTGTATCCGCAGTAGGCCGTAAACCCGATTGGTCCCACTTGCGTGAGTTTGATCTGTAAGGTGGAGGTGTAATTACTCGACGTCTGGACCAGGCTGGTCAGCGTAGGGAACACTATCGGAGTCGAGGCGTACGGTTTCACAAATCGAATGAAAACCGGACTTGGACAGGAAATGGTCCCCGTTTGAATGTTATTCAATCCATTCAGCCTAACCTGAAGGCGCTCTGAGGCTAGGCTGCTGTTGGATTGGAACTCGTGTAGCTGATGCTTCAGGTCCTCGCTCTCTTGGTGAAGCTTCGTGATTTGCTTCTCGTGACTGATGAGATAGTTGACGACGTCGTGAAATTTCGGCTCCTCGCCGTGACCCTCAGCGTCGACGTCAAGGACATCGGAAGACCTTGAGCTGCGAAAGCGACGACTTCGCAGCTGTAGGTTCCCGCGTCTTCTTCCCTTGGATTCGGCCACGTCACCTCGAGGTAGGCCTGCAGGTCAGGGTCGGAGCCAGTCATGACGCCGCCCTCCACGAGAGTTGTTTCGTTGAAAGGATAAAGTGCCGCCGCCACGTTGAAGGGTGTCACACTGGCGATGGTCGTGTTTTTCCCAGAAATCTTTTTGTTGATGATGACGTCATGACGTGAACGACCTCAACACCAGACGACACGCTGAGGGGGGAGGGTATGGTGGCAGCTGCTGCAGTATTATTGACGTTTGTCGCTAGTACGCCATCATCGTAAGCCAAGTCGGTTTCATCCAAATTTGCGTCTTCTCGCTCGGAGGACGCACGAGTTAGTGCGGCTAGGTTTGAAATTGCGTTTCTAAAGATCAAACATCGCAGCCTCAGTGTTTGGTGAGTACGGGGTGTATGACGGGAGAGTTGGACTGGACAGTTGGACTGGAGAGTTGGACTGGACAGTTGGATTCCAGAGTTGGACTGGACAGTTGGACTGGACAGTTGGACTGGAGAGTTGGACTGGAGAGTTGGACTGGAGAGTTGGACTGGACAGTTGGACTGGAGAGTTGGACTGGAGAGTTGGACTGCATCACGAGCTCTGAAGCTGAACAGAATGAGGTCAGACTTTATGACAACGTGTATGTATGTGTGCTTTAAAAATTGTGGAATATGAGAAATGGTTGAGAAGCTCTAATTAAAAAGTTATGGTAAATTACTGTATAGTTTAAATGCACACTAATATGAGAAATTACCTTATAGCTGGAGTTAAAAATATTATGAGAAATTTATGTATTGCTTTAACGCACAATACTGTGAGAAAAAACATTACACATTTTAACACAACAGGATAAAGTGCAGACTCAAGTTGGAACACTGTTTAAGAGACTAAATGACTTGATCCTTTCTTACCTAACACATATTCCATCAATAAAATCACCACCGCTGTTATTTGGAAGACAATCATATCTTCCAACGTTATGTCTTTTCTTGTTTCAAAGAAATCAAGTGAACCGAGGTGACAATCCTGGCCTGTCCTAGACAACAGTGTCAAAAACTACCTGATGCTCAGTTAAATGCTTACACCATCGTCCACATGTAAGGGCAGGTTGAGACATCCATGGCAAGGAACAATCCGACAGCAAACCTACTAAAACCAACCCATTCTTAAAACCTAAGGGAGACTCCACCTTTCAAAAATCGAAGATGGAGTCCTGTAGGTGGTATGATACCGACTCTATAAAAAAAGCTCAAAAACTCTGTGGACTGGCTGTATAATCCATTTGATGATCTCTTGGGTTGAGCAGCTGCGTGAAGAAAGACAATGAGCTGACTGGGAAACAATGTATTCTACAGCGAAAACCTCATCACCGTCTTATTGATACGCTTTATGGCCGAAAGATTGATCCGCGCTAAAAATCGTTTTTTGGAACCGAAGAGACAATCGAAGAATTAATATTTTTTATCACCTTGAAATTTTAACACAAAATATCAATTTGCCATGTCAACCACGCCAAAGACCGTACTAAATAACGCTGATGTTCGTGTGAAGGTCTGAGATCGTTCTCTTATGACCCCAGCTAGTACATTGGCAACCGGCTACATCTGCTGAGTTGAGCCATATAACATTCTCCTATCGCCGCCCTGGTCTTCCCCGAAACATTAAATTAAATTTTAGTGAGTGACAATTGGTCGATGCATGCGCTAGTGTTTCTGAGATCAGGTTGCCATGCCGACAGATGGGGCCCCTGTTATTATCTAGCGTGTTAAACTATGTGCCGATGCGATGGTGCCCGAGACATATCACTGTCACTAGATTCTGGTGCCTGTGACCTAACCCCAACCATGGGTCTTGTATATAGGAGTCGTATAGTTAGTGAACACGCCTCTGGCTGTCGTGTTGTCTGCCCATTGCCTGTACCATTTTTTTCTAATATGCTCCGACAAACAGTTTTTTTTTAATTCCAAGGCTGGTTACTGGTACATCTGGCTGAGGCTGTGCAGCCCTTGTTTTTGCCATAAGGTCTGCTTT